CAAATCTGCGGAATAGCAGACCTCCAAATTGTTATTATGATCCATTTTGGCATCGTTCCTATACATATTTCTGGATTCCTCCGCTTTTTTTATGTGTTTGGTATAGGTCTTACAGATGTCACAATCAGGATCAATATTTTCTTTTGAGTGGCAATGGTTTTCAAATATTGCACAACATTCACACTCCTCATGTCCCAGTTTAGTGAACGAAATATTTTTAGCCTTTACGGCTACTCTATACAACTCGTAGGAACAATAAAAGGTAGGGTGTTTAGTTAAAAAGTCTTTATACATTAACGTAATCGACACATCACTTGGTAGATACCTTTTATTTGGAGCATGCTCCCTTCGATAATGGGACACTGATGGGTGAAAGCTCTCAATATGTGCTTCTATAACATCCTTATTAAATTTTCTTGTTTTAGGATATTTTCCTAAAACAAAAATAAATAATTTAGTAAATGCATATGATTATTTTCCTTGTAAATACCTCTCATGTCAGAAGAAACAGATATGTGATTGTCACTTTTGCTGATAGCTTGTAAAATAAATCTATCATTTTTTTCGTGGTAGCCTAAAGTGGTTAAAAAAAACGTTTTACAAATTTTGATTCTTCTCCCAGTTTCATCCTGAAAATAATATGTAATGCTGCGGCACCTTTTGGAGTTTTCAGTATTATTTAGCTCAGTTTGCTCTGTATTGCTTAGGATAAATTTTTTTCTGTCTGTAAAATTCAGTGATTGATAGTTTTTATTTAGTTCAATCCTCCTATTTTCTGGAATATGAAGGTTGCATTTTTTTGGACAATTTTTACATGGGGGTTTTAAATTAAACTTTTCTTTTGCTTTTTCTTTTTTTTGTTTTAAACGTTCTTTTAAAGAAATGTTGTATTTTTTTCTCTTACGTATTTCACCCTTCTTAGTAAGAGTAGGATTTTCGTTAGTACCTGGTGGGTCTCTTTCTAATTGAGGATTTTCAGTTCTTGGGGGAATAATCTGAATATCGTGAATAACAATTTTTGAAGAATTTTCAGGAGATATTTGCGGGGGCTCATTTTCTAAATTATTTAAAACACTTTCGTCAAAAATACTGCTTCTAAATGAAAACTCTAATAAACCCTCATCGGCCTTTAGGTCATCAGTCAAAATAAAATCATTGATGGCGCTAATATCTATTTCTTTATCACTAGGTATTATTGGATGCTCATGAGAAACATTTTCTGCAAAAAGTACACAACTTAATACTATTACCCTTATTTAATTATTAAAAAAAGTTGTAAAACTTACCATCTACGGGTCCTAATGGTGTGTGATTCCTATCCTTTAATTTCAAATCAGTTTCAATAAAATCAGATGTTTGATCTAAAAATAGTTAATAAAACGCATTTTCTTAAGTTACAAAAAACTGAACCGCCATAAATTTAGTTAGATAAAGACACACCTTTATTATTAGTGGTTAAAGGTGGAATAGTATCGTCAGCAACTTGATGGAAAATTTCATCTTTATCATATCGATTATTATCAACAACTTTGTCATTAATTTTTTCTTCACAAGTTACACTACTAGAGTTATCATTAAGGAATAATGCCACATTTTCCTTATTGGCCAAATTTATTTCGGGGTAGTTGTAGGATAGTTCGGCTTTTTGAAAGTCTAATTTCGCTTGTTTTCCTGTAAAAATATCATTAAAATACGAGTTACTAACTACCAAAACCTTGACTAACCACCACCAGTTACACCACCAACACCACTTTTTTTACCAGATTCACTACGGATATTCTCCATAGATTCACCTGTTTTTCGTTTACATGCAATGGACATTAATAATTTAGTTCTTGAACTTATCTAAAAATACAGTTAAAACATTTATTCAGTATTTAAACAATATTAAAAAAACCAGCTCAGCGCCTGGGACTTTTGGGAGATACAGAGAGTAAAGTAAAAAGAAAAAATTAAAAATCAAAAACTAGACCGAAATTTTTGGGCTATGTTAATGATGATAGCTTCAAATAAGGCGAAACATTTTTATAAATTTTCTTATTAATACTTGCTCCTAAATACACAGGGTGTTAATTAAGTATGTACCATGAAAGGGTTTTCTACTACCGTGTGTAAAGTACTCACTTTACGCACTAAAAACAGTGTATAAAGTAGCACTTTTTCGCACTAGTGCATAAAATAAGTATTTTACACACTAGTGCGTAAAGCAGTCTGCCAAAAAATTGCATCAGCAAAAATTTGACACCTGACGCACTGGTTTTTAGTTCGTTACTTTACGCACTTACTAGTGTGTAAAGTAAATTTACTTTACGCCACTACGGTGTAAAGTTAACGACTTATTTTCTTTATTTAATGAATTTTCGGGAAAAAATTGAGGGTATAAGAAAAAATATTGTATGAAACACGTGTGGAAAGTTCTTTTTTTAAAATGAAAAACAATCCCATTCGTAAAAAAAGTATCACTTAACACAATTGATACATAAATAACGATTTTATATTTTTAACGAATTAAAATGTAGTTTTTCTTTTAAAACTCTGAAAACCTAGCATGTTTATAGGATTTTTTTTCGTAAAATATTTTTTAAAAAATCGTCTGGTAAATTTATTGCACGTACCTAACTAACGGCCGTAAATTTTCTACTAATAAATTGAAATAAATCCACAGACTTACCTTGCTATCCATTATGACGACAAAACCACAAAAACACACAATTTTTAATTATATTTTTTACTATTTGATAACCCGGTAATAATATTATATTATTTATAATACTAAATTAATAATTATTATTTAAACACCTTCGCACCTTCGCATCAGCTAAAAGCTCAAATCGATCTGTTCATTCTTACAATAAATATGCTGTTTCAGTGTATTTTCTGTCCTTTATACATTAATAAGTTTAAACAGAGACAGAAATACGATTCATCAACAGTAATCTTGCAAATGAAATAGGTTAGAAAACCGTTAAAGCTTACGCGGGAAAAGTTACTGCACTTTTCCTTAGCAAAGTGTGACGTATCGCGTCACTAATACAAGGGTATAGGCGTAAGTTATTTGTGAATACTGCATTGTGATTGGATAATCCATCGTACTGCGTTTTTTGTTAGTAATAGATGATGTTTTTGACTCCTTGTACATGTATAAATTATAGCAAAGTTTGTTGTACTGCGTTATTCATTAGGATTTCTAAGTTACTGCAGTTTACCTTAAAATAAAGTGATTTTTTTAATGGAGATCCAAAGCAGTTACACAGTATATTTTTAAATACTGCATTTCTCGCTAGGATAAGTGCTTACTGCGTTTTTAACTAGTAATATGATGCTTTAAGCGAGTTACTGCAAACTTTTTTTTCAAATTTTGAAAAAACCAAATTTTTTTTGGAAAAACTGAGTTGGTAGAAAGATAGAGAATATGTTCAAGAATACGAATTCACCAAAATCTCAAAATCGAAAAAAATCGAGTTACTGCGTTCTTCATTAGGACGGCAGTGTGGAGCTTGGTAGTGGATGAACTACTGGAAGAATTAACTCTAGCGGGAATACACTGCATAGGGTACGCAGATGACATAGTCATCATTGTACGGGGGAAACATGAAGGCACCCTGTGTGATATTATCTAAAGAGGATTCCGCATCGCTGAGAAATGGTGCAGGACTGTCGGGCTGAGTATTAACTCAGATAAAACCGCAGTAGTGCCATTCACCAGAAAGCGAAGTTTGAAAAACTTGAAAAGAATCCATCTAGATGGAAAGAAAATACTGCCATCACAGGAAGTGAAATATCTGGGAATAACCCTGGATAGTAAACTTCTCTGGAACAGGCATATTAAGAACATTACCAGCAAAGCCACAAAGGCTCTCATGATATGCACAAGACTGGCGGGAAATGATTAGAATGGTTAGTGACGGAAACAGTACTGGGAGAATTTTCAGGTCAGGGGCTTGGAACACCCTCAAAAAGAAAATTCCACTTCTACAACTCCCAGTGGATAACATACCAAGAATTTACAACTTTGAGAAACACCTCACTGTAGTATTGAGTAATAAAAAGGATTGGAAGAAAGAAACGCTTACTCAGCATATAAAAGACCATACCATCACGTGGTATACTGATGCTTCCAAAACCAAAGCAGGGACAGGGATAGGAGTATTTGGGCCGAAAACTGAATACTCCGAACCAATGGGCACCTACCCCAGTATCCTTCAGGTAGAAATTTGCGCTATTGAAAGATGCGTACTATCTTAGATAGGAACTATCGAAAACAGGAAGTTGCCATCCTATCCGATAGTCAAGCAGCACTTAACGCGATCAACTCAGTAACCATCAATTCGAAGTTGGTCAAAGAATGCCTAGAGAAGCTCAACAAATTAGGCAAAGAAAATAAAATCCTCCTACTCTGGGTGCCTGCTCACCAAGGGATAGAAGGCAATGAAAAAGCAAATGATCTAGCTAGAAAAGAAGCGAACACTCCACTAACTGGACCAGAACCGTTCTGTTTTCCAAACGGGAACCAACTGAAAGCGGAACTGAAGAATCTGGAAGACTCCATCCGTAACTTGGAATGGGTGTCCTCCAACGGTCTAAGACACTCAAAAAAGTTCCTTAGAACTTATGACCGAGAAAAATCAAAGGTTTTCCTTGATTTAAGTAAAAACAATCTTCGGATTGTCACGGGGTTTCTAACAGGACACACTCTCCTCAATGAACACCTCAGTAGGCTGAAACTGAGAAGCAACGGCGAATGCAGATTTTGTGGGGAAAATGGGGAAACACCAGAACACCTTATCACTGAGTGCGCCGAGACGACGACCATTCGTGCCATGAACCTTGGTGCGTCTGATGTCGAGGATGGAGAGCTGGCCTCTGTGGAGCCGTCTCAGGTACTGACTTTTCTGAAAGCCCTGAGACTGTATGATAAGTTATAACTCGTTATAACTCAAGAAAGGGGAACACACAATAGATCTATAAGGTCGCGGTGATTAACTCCCCTCCTAAGCATTCTACATTCTACATCCACAAACATGATAATCTTTTTCTTTTCTAACAGCACTAACTGATATTGCCTCGCTCTGAAGCATCTTACACTGAGACTTGCTTGCTTCAACAGCCCTACATACCTTAATTGCTGTGTCCAGTGTCAAATCTGATTCTCTCAACAATCTCTTCTGTGTGTATTTTTTAAAAATTCCTATGACAATTCTGTCTCTAATCATATGGTCTTGATCTCTATACTCTGTTGTTTTGATCGCTTTCCGTAAATCTGTCAAAAAGGTATCAAAACTTTGCCCTTGCTTTTGTATAATTGAATTAAATTTAAACCTTTCAAAGATTACATTTTTCTTTGGACAGCAGTATTCATCAAATTTCTCCTTCACTATTTTCAAAATTGCCGCTTCCTCGTCTGTCAAACTAAACGAATTGAACAGATCCAGGCCATCTTCGCCAATCAGGTTCAAGAACGCCGCCATTTGCTTTTTCTTTCGTTTCTTTTTAGTCCTGTTACCTCCAAAAAAATATCAAACTTGTGTTTGCATTTTCTCCAGTCCTCGGCAATATATCCTCCCAGGGATAGCGGTTCCGGTGGACGGATAAACGATTCCATTTTTTCCAAAGACTAGTTAGCCTTACAATTCCAGATCACAAATCCAAATCACGTTGTTGTAACGCAACTTCAAATTCAGCGTATTACTGCTTACTTATTCACGTCGTTTTCACTAATTTGTATAAACACTGATAAATCTTGATTAAAAATTGTACTCTCTGGCGGTGTAAAAATTCCTCAAAACTTTTGTGTTAATTTTTCACGCAATTCTGCGTGGACTCGTTTGACGAAGATTTTCGTTCAATTTGAGTAAATTTTCACTCAAAATTTTTTACAGTGTAGCTCAGCGCGTAGAGGTTCTGCCCATCAAGCGAGGAGTCAGAGTTCGAATCCGGTCAGTGTAAAAACTTTTTCATTTTATTTTCGTTTATATTCTGATACTAAAGGTATTAAATATTTGTTTTTTTTTTTAATCACCAGAATTATTTAATATTTTATTATCGGAATATAAACGGAATTAAAATAAAAAAGTCTTTGCCCTGACCCGGATTCGAACTCTGAATCCTCGGAATCCTCGGTTCGTAGTAGGAAAATCTACGCACTGCGCTATGGAGACATGTTCGATTTATATTCAGTACTACAATTTATAGGACTAAATTAAAAAAAAATATATATAGGATCTTCTTTCGATGCGCAGTAGTGAACGCAACGTATCGGCAGCCAGACGGGCCGCATGCTGTTCCAGAGAGAATAGTAAACGATATATCAAAGAGCCAGACGTCTTAAAATACTTTCTCGAAAACGTTGCTAGCTCTTAGACTAATAGTTTCTGCTTTGAGTTAGATTAAAAATTATATGAAAATGTATTCCATTGCTGTCGGATATCTGTCAAGTTTGACATTTAGAGTAATAAATGGCTAAAAAATAGGTACCTGGCCAAATTTCGAAAAACTGTATTTGGTTTGGTTTGGTTTGGTTTGGTTTTGTTTTGAATAAATTCGAAAAACTGTATTTGGAAAAATTGTTTCATTTTTAATTTTACAATGTAACAATTCTTTTCGAAATTATTTACCAATAATAGCTGATTCTCTTGATAAAGGCAAAAATAACTGATGGAACTCGTTTGTCATTCAAATATTTATCTAGTACTCATATGTATACTGTATATGTTTAGTTCAATTTTTTGAATAAATTAATAGTTTTTTTATGAAAAGTTAAATTTTGTTGTAAAAATATTGACTTGAGTGATGCAAACTACATACATATAATTATTGAGGTGACATCATTTCTAACATTTTTTATCTCTAATTACCCAATTTACGTGTAGATTTACTTTAAAATTCAGGCCAGTTATAATAGTATGTTTATTAAACAATTTTTTATAATACTTTAATTTTAGTTTGATCAGCCAACCAATCAAACAATTCTATAAGTAGGCTATAAAAATACATTTTGATATCTAATATTGCGCAAATAAGTTCCCAGCATGAACCAATATGAAATTTGTGATGTCATATCCATAAATGCGGAAGTTATTCATACTTTGCGTCACTTTTAGTCTGATTTTTACAACTAAATTTATTTTGTTAAAAGCTTTTAACATGTGCAATAGATTTTAGTGAATATATAACCGCTAGGTAAATATTTGACTAATCTAATAAGTGAACTACCATCGATTATTTTTGCTTCTACCACGAGAACATTAGTACACTTATATAAAAAAAACAACTTTTTCAAGTACAGTTTTTCGAAATTTATCCAAGACACCAATTTTTTAATCTTTTATTACTTAAGGGGCGGCTGTGTTCATTTGCTTAATTCATTTTAAATTTAAATCAAAGCAAAAACTATTGCCGAAATCAAATTTTACCTAGGTTAATATATAAAAAAGTTCAATATGATGCGGCTTTATCTGTGTATATCCCTTATATTCAGAATCCCCATACAGAAAAATATCTACATGTAAAATTTGGCTACCCAACATCATCTTAAATTTTAAAAAGTAAAGGTTACAACGGGATACCACTTTACTACTAAACTACTTTACCATAAATTTTAAGTTAGTACCCGTTTTCCACTCTATTTGTTATTACTATTCTGAAGTTTAAGTTATGAAGACTTTACTTTTACAAATTCAAGACTTTTATTTTTTATATTTTAGAAATCCACATGCTGTTCAACCCCATTTAAGGAAATGTTTTGATGCTATTTCGAAACTGGAATTTGGTGTAAAATCTCTAGAGGAAGGTAAATTAGCATTAATTTATAAGTAGTTTAAGAAATTACTTAATTATTTATTAATTATGGTTTTAGTTGTAGAACTCTAATATCGTTCATCGAGTATACACTATACACGTGTGTGACTGTGCTCGGCATATCCAGCGTTAGATTAAATTGTTAGTTAGTCTACAGTTTAATAATTGTAGGGTGTAGTTTTCGAAAAAGGTTCTTATAATATTAAGTGTATTTTACTGAGAGGCCAACAAGATCTCAAACTGAATTTGAGAGATCGCTGATTGATGCACTAAGATCAAGCAATGAAGCGGATGCAGTAAGCGAGGCAATTATAAGTAGTGTCACTAAAAAACTTGCAGAAATATTTAATTATTACTATGCTAAAATTGCATCTCTTGAAGCAGAAATACAATTAATAAAATCTAATAAAAGTGATATTGTAAGTAGTTAAACTAATACGGGACTGCGACAGTCGGATGGCCAAGAAGGTTACCAAAGATTTTCACCTGTATTTTTTGTGTGCGTACCTGTGGGTTCTCGTAAATTTACCAGAGGCTGTTGAAGAGGGCCTTAATTGCTGTGGTTTAGGTAGGTAGCAGGTAAATGAAAATTGTGTGACGTCAGAGCAGTTTGGTGAAGAACTTCGATAGGTTAAAGGTTATCTCGAAATATTGTGATAAGTTATTATTGTGTACGAGAGGTTACGGGGGTCGGGTTTTATCAGTAAATATTGCGATAAGGATGTTTTTCGCTGTTACTCATAGTGCGAGCCAAGCCTAGCCTTGTGAAATATATTTTATAAGAAAAGATAAATTAAATTATAAGCACATTTATTTTTATATTAATATTTTCCATAAATATTACAATATCTAATTTAATGAATATAGTTTTTGCAATAGTTTAATGTTGTAAATTGCTGTATTTCTTTCTGTATCTAAATATGAATTTTACTCAACAGTGTACTTATTTGAATAAGAACAATTAAAATAATAATTAACAACAGGATTTTCTAAACACGTTTATTTTATATTAATAATTCCATTTTTACATTTTCCAATGTAATGTAAGTTATTTAAATTGCTTTAGTGTTTTATTACCTCCACTTATAATGAGTATTTAGTTTTACAATAATTTAAATATGTAAATGTAAATTACAATATTTCTATGAATCTAAAATATAATTTTTAGTGAACAGTGTACTTATTTAAATAACAATTTAAAATAAGATTACTTTAAACACATATATTTTACAATAATTTTATATGAAAACTGATAATAATAATAATAATAAAGTGATATTGTAATATTGTAATAATAATAAAGTGATATTGTATTGTTGATTACCCGTGTGGTTGCCGGGTTGTAAAAAGAATAGCACCAAGGAATCTCCTGCCTGTCGTAAGAGGCGACCAATTGGAGCAGTTTGTCCAGCTGTCCTTATAACCCCTATCCATCTAACTTAAAAATTATCTTCATCCTACCTTACCTTATCCTTTATTTCCTCACACACTCCAATTACTTCCTCCGGTGGTTAAACCTACCTGAAACAAAAATATATTATTTACAATTGAATTTTAATGGCGTCGAGTTCAAAACAAAAGGATTTGCCCCAGATGGGTAGAGATATTGGAATCTCGGAATCCCATACTGCAAACGCAGTCTGCCCCACGGATTCTGGGGGGACAAAAACTCGATTTCATTGATAAACCTCCAGATAATTGAAGAAGAAACAACACCTGTAAATGAAAGGGAAAGTTTGGTCGATCTAAGTGATAGGCCCGCTAACCCAAGACCCACCTTGAAAAGAAGGCGTTGGACATGAGAAATGAACCTATTTTTAATTCACGCACACCTTCAAGCCACTGATTTGGAAGGAGACCTAACAGGATACAGAGACAGAGTAAGCGACTTATGGCAAATACGATACCCTAATATACCATGTACAGTACAACGACTAACTGACCAAATTCGCTCAATTAAAAGGCGTCAAGTTTTTTCGGAAAGAGAAATGAATAGCATCAAAGAAACAATACAGAGTGACAAAAGTCGTAAGTCCTGAAGAGCTTACGACACCTGAAGCACAGGTGCATGCAACCGAAGCAGATAAAACTAATAATAATAATAATAATAATCCTAAGATGCATGTCTCGGATCAACAACTTTTACTCGGTTATGAGGCTAATATTGTCAAATACAGAGGAGCACATCATTCGGCACGTCCTAGATTACCAAGAATAACATATAATGGCTCATGGCTGTACCATATAAGTTATTTACATCAAAATACATAAGGTATGATGATTGAAGGGTAGTGTTATACTCATTTCCCATAAAGACGTCATTTGCTTTCCCATATCGGTTACTACATTGTGATATTCCACCTCTAATAACTCTTTCGATAAACATTAATTTATCAATATCTGTTGATAACTCTAAATTAATTCCAGATACATTTAAACAACTGTCGTAGGCTAAACCTGGGGCTGTGTAATACTTTAAACATTCCAAATTATATGTTTTTAAACAAACCTTATGAAAATTTTCAAATACATCAGCTAAAAGCAATACATCTGTTTTTAAATATAATTCCATATATTCACAAAGATTTTGAATTTTAAATGTATCCCATACTTTTATAGCATGATCATATTCACATTGTTCTATACCAGATTTTCTTAAATTACTATAGAA